TAAGGTCGGTTCGCAGTCAGCCATACGGGGGACATTCGGTCCGGGGTCGCAGGTTCGCAGTCAGCCATACGGGGGTCATTCGGTCCGGGGTCGCAGGTTCGCAGTCAGCCATACGGGGGTCATTCGGTCCGGGGTCGTAAACGCTGATGGCGGATGGGTACAGTGCTCAAACGTTAAATACCCCCCCCCCCCCCAACAAAAAAACGCCTGGCTTCGTTGACTTAATTTTTTACATGAAAAACACCGGTTTATGGATTTTGTCACATCGTTTCTTACAGGCAGTATTGAAAGCTTCCTGATTTCTTCTGTCCAAAATGTTGCGACCAAGACATGTTTTTCAAAAGTAGTCTGCAAAATCCAGGCAAATGAAAATTTTGGCGCACTATGGGCCATGGATTTGAATTCGAAATTCTGACGAGACTATGCCCATGCTGTACTTTGACATGCAACCTGTGCAGGCAGATACCTCCCAAACGACCCAAAATGCCCCCGCTGATGAAATTTTGCTCCCCGGGGGAAATAATGTAGAAACGGATTGACAATTTTAGGAATCTGGGTAGTTTTACGTCCTCGGAGAGTCTACCAAACCAAACAGAAACAAAAATCCGAAGAGTGTGTTATGCTGACAGGTGCTAGCCCTGTACCAGAGCTATCGAAGACACACAGCTGTATTCTTAGACTTTGATGATAAGCATTTTTTGCCGCGGCCCCGTATTATGGTCGTCACTGACGTCCATGCCGGCCACCATTTAACTCTGCGCTGTGAATGGGTGGTCTGAACAGAAGAGCTCACGTCGGCCGATGGCAAAATTTACATTGCCAGCGATAACGCTCCCACAACAATATTACCTGCGAAATATTGCGCTTTCTGCGCACAAGTAAACAATATAGAATTAGACGCCGTATGCTTGCAAATCACCGCTACGGTGGCCCATCAATCATTGAGGCATACGTCGTCAAGGGGGGGGGGGGGGAGATCAACCGAATAAAAGCGAAACAAAGGCCGACGTATATCTGGTATTGGCAGCTGCTAGCGATCAGTAGCGATCTTCGGGTTTGATTATAAGAATTTTCCCAGCCTACCGTTACATCTCTCTACGTGCAAGACAGCCGCCGTTAGCTCCGGACTGTCAAAGGATGATTTTAACAACAACACAAATAATTGCTTGCTTATGAGAGACTTCCATTGCTGGGCGAAAGCGATCCCACATAAACATCGCCAACGAAAGGTTGCACCCTCGGCGCACAAGTAAATTTATTTCAAATTGAACACCGTGATGTGCAAATCACCGCTCGAGCTGTAACGCTAGCATAATGTGATACGCTGTCGGGGGGGGGGGGGGGGGGGGCGGGGGGACGAGGAGGGGTCGATCGAATAAATTCGAAATAAAAATCTGAGGAGCGTGTTGTACTGACAGCTGATATCCGCATACCAGTGCTATCGGAGGTACACAGTCAATATTTGAGTTTGGTTGCAAGTATTTTCCCACGTGGTCGTACTGTGGCTGTCGCTTCATGTGCTGGTCGGTCTCCGTTAGGTAAACGCTGTAGAGGGGCTACTTAAACAAAATAGCTTATGTCTAACAATGCAGTGTTTACGGTGCCAGGTGATAGAGCACCAGCAATAACATTGCTATCACAAGACTGCAATTTATACGTACACATCAAAACAGTTCAAATCGTGCTCCATATCTGCGCAAATCGCTTCTTCGGCAGGCCCTCAAACACCGATTGATACGCTTTCGGGGGTCGCTCGAATAAAATCGAACTGAAAATTAAATGACTCTTTCGTAATGACAGCTGGTAGCCCTACACCAGATCTATCGAATGTCCATAGGGCGAATCATCAGGCTTGATTAAAGTATTTCTCCCGGGTCACGGTGCTGTTAACACCACGCTATTTGCAGGCAGGCCGCCGTTAGTTGTGAGCTGTGAAGGGGTGATTTAAACAAAAAGTGGCAACGTCAGCGCATGCGCAGTTTAGAGGGATTCCAAGTTCGTTGGAGCGCCTGCCTGCCGATCCACCCGCCCGGGGCGGCGTGGGCTCAAGTCACCTCAGATGCTTGCCATTTGCCCTTGGCAGATGTGGGGTGCAGCAGATCTGCCCTCTTGTTGAAATTACTCACCAATGCTGTAAGAATAATGTGCAATGTGCATTATTTCTTTCACCAACTTTACTTCGAGTGATGTACGCATCGCGAGGAAACAGCTGGGTTCCGCATAAAATGAGTTCGTCATTCCAGGCGCAATTTTCCGTAAATAGTTGGGCTGTTTATGCAATTGCCTCAGCTCGACATATACGATTCAAGCCGTATTTACATAAACAATTTACGTGCTGCAATTAAGTGCTACGTTTCCAAGTAGCAATTTCTGTCATTCGACCCTAATGTTACGTAAAGACTCGTGGACGTTGCAAATTTAACAGACACTGCTCATCACAGTCTGAATACATAACTTGATTACGGTTCATTTGTCCAAGTTCATTCCTCGCTTGCCGTCTCGCATGGGCTTTTTCCGACTGACCGGGGCTCGATCTCGACTCAGGCTCGGACTCTGACTCCGAACTTGCCGGCGGCGGGTGGTGGTATCAGCTGGTTCGGCTCTGGTCTGCCGCTCGGCTCTGCGCGGGTCTTTGTTGGTCATCCGCTGGCGTTCGTCGAACTCGGCGCGGCGGCCACGCGAGCGGCGAGGGACGCCACTCCGCCGGATGCTCCGCTCCCCGGCGGCCTCCCGCTCCGGACATGCTTTTAACACTTGGGGCGTGGTGAGCAGCTATCCCGGGCCACATCCTGCGTTTTGGGCAGGACGTCTCGCCTTAATAATGTTTGTTTTCGTCCAGGCTCGATGCCATCCTCCCGGCACGGCCTGTGCGCTCAGACGCCTTGTCTGGCCGGCTGAGCCGTCACTGGCTTTTCTGTCTTACATATCGCAGCCTGGCTGCCATGTAAGTGGGAAAGAATTGCAAAGAGGAGAGCGGAGAGGGGGGGGGGGGGGCAATCGGAACTATACCAACAAGATAGGTGCTGTGGCCAAATAGTGGCAGATTCTTCTTCAAAAATGTTTCGTCCTTAGCCCAGAACAGGATGTAAAGTCAGTATCCCAAAATATTTAGAAACTATGAGACATCTGTAACGAAACATTACTCAAATACAAACACCCATCTGCTGTCCCATGCTCATCCTGGAGAGATGGGCTCTTCGGGATCAGCGCAGCTGGTAATATAGAATAACGTCAATACAATTGTTTTGTAGCACCATAACTCCATTTAATCAATATTACGTTTTTACTTAAGTTCATTCACTCAAAATAATGACTTTAAGCTCATAACACACACACACACACACACACACACACACACACACACACACACACACACACACACACACACACACACACACACACACAAGCATATATATATATATATATATATATATATATATATATATATATATACGCGCGCGCACAAACGGAGGCGCCAGCCCTTCTTCCCCATATCAAGTCCAAATTATGGCCGCAGAGTAACGTGAACAAAATTCATGAAGAAATGCGCCCCGGAAATAGGATGGACAAGGTTCGTGGGCTCCCCCCCACTCCTTCAATTCCAAATGGCAGTTGAACATTCCCGACGAATGTGGCTTGGCAATGTCAATATACCACTTTGATCCCGTTCCAATCTACAATCTACGTTCACTGAATCCTCAATACCTATCTATATCTATCGTTTCGTATCAAAACTACATCTGTTTTACAGAGGTTGTTTTAACACGAAGCGGTTGAAATGGCTGAGTTCATGCAATGCAATTTAGCACTGTTCAAGCGCCGCCGTGCTTTCCAAAATTAACAAAACACTGGGCATCTTTTCAAGTATTCTGTGACCCATTCATAAAAGCAGCAACAAAAAAAGACGTGGAGTATTAGGGTGTGGACCATTTCTAAGCCTGTAGGGCAGGAGTCCAAACTGACACAGACGTCCAAACTTAAGCAGCACATTGCTAGAGGCTTAAACTCGTGACTTTTCCCTTTAAACAGCCTACACTTTGGCATATCAGGTGAAACTGATATGAGCTTAGGGCTCAAAACCTGAACCGCAAGTTTGGCCTTACCCGTTACCAAAAATGTTGGCATGGTATGGGCAGTGCACTGCATGGGCCATATTGCCTCTGAGTGATATGGACAAAAACACGCTAATCCCCACCTGGGAAGCCTGGCTTTGCGTAGCCAGAGCCCAGCTGGCGCCCTTTCAGAACCCTGCTGGCGTCCTTGTTCAGTCCATAATATTCACGGCTCTGCTGCGCAGGTTTTTTGTTGAGCCCATGCCTGACACGGACTTGCACCCAGCAGATATACACCGTTTCCACCAGTTTGGGGACAGGCAGGGCCTCACCTGGAGCCCAGCGCCTGCCCAGGCGCTGGGCTCCGATACACCGATACCCGGACAATGGTCCGGCATGTGGCCGGCTGTTGCCCGGCCAGGCCCTGTGCAATCAGCCCGGCTGTGGCTCGGCCGCGGTCCACCATAAAAATTCGGAAAGGGCCATCTGGAGTAGTGCTGGGCACCCTGTCACTGTCAACTCAACCTGCCCGTCTCAGGCCCGGCCGGGTCCGCGATGAAATGCTAAGTGGGAGAGTGAACCTTTCTCTACAAAACGCCGTCCTCCATGGTCGGCTTGAGCCCCTACGAGGGCTGGGTGGACCTAGCAAAATGAGTCTGCTGGGCTGGATCTAACTTTATTTGCCTACCTTACACGGATAGATTCGGACAGATGAGTGATTGGTCGAAAAACTGTGAACGGAAATGCATATTTGCCCACGGCCCTGACCAAACTAAGGTTGGCCATCTGAGCCGTCTGATCGCAGATATAACTTCTTCTGACGGTTGAATAACATAACTCCTTCATATGGAGCCAATTGGTAGCATCATTCATATCAGTTATTCTGGCGCTATGATGCGCCACTATTTCCTTGTTTACAGTTCTCGGTGGTTATCGAAATTTGTGTGGTGCTTGATTGTTCAAAGCTTTGGTAAGTGTTCTGCGGTGCGCAGCTGGTGCCGAGGTAATTGAGGGAGTGAATACGTGGCTAGTGACCTTTGGGAGCGCACGAATGCCCGTGGATGTGACCTGTGCTGGTGGGTCGGGGTCTGGGACTCGGTTGGAAACTTGGATTTCTTGGGTCTTGTGCTTTGTCCATGTAGGATGAAATAACATCAAAGTGACTGCACTCTGTTCATATTGAATATTTGGTTGCAACCCATGATTCCCAGGGATGGTTGGTGCACTTTTCTTGGCACCATGCTTTGTGCTGGTGTCACTAAAAACCTTTCTGTCACTGCTATACTTTCAGTGTACTGCTGTCTTTCAGAAATTACCTGGCACGTACTACCTTAACATAATGACAGACTGGCAAATTACCAAGAAGACCTTAAATGAGCGGTGCCTGTTCCTGTTTGAATCCGGGCAATGGCATGACTGTGAATTTATTGTTGGGATGGAATCAAATCAGCAGGTGAGTTTTTCTCATGTGAATTTCACTGCATGCAGCACCAATATGCACATGTGATTTAGGATAGGGATGAGCATACCTTAGGAATCACACTGTTTTGGAACTTGTTGATACCGTCATGATTGAAGCAAGAGCTTATGGGCAGAATTGGTGAGGATAATTACTGCAATGTTGCTTACAATATGTACACTCATGTGTCAGCATACCATGTCTCGGTTTCTCAAACTACTGCATAATAATAGTAATGGGAAGAAAAAATAGCAACACCACACATTCAGAAATAAGGTGATGCCACAGTCACACCTTGTTGCTACCTCATGTTGCAGGATGTGCACTGACAGGGCAGGATTTTTTGTTGAACACCATAATAACAAATGGTATCACTGTCCTGACAAGGGCAGCAGTTTCCTGAGATTTAATCTAAATTAACCTGACCTAACTTTACCTAACCTCACCTAACCTCATCTGGTCAGGGTATGCATTGCTACCTCATGTTAAGAAAGAGCATTGTACATCAATCATCATTTTTAAGGCAGAACATATCATAATTAATTATAAGACAGGTCATCTAAGCTCTTACGTTGGAACTGAACTAACTACGATAGTGAACATCTGAGCATAAACACGCATCGACCACGACCCCGGCACCATTTCTACGCATGATCGCAACATTCATTCCTGCGTGATCACAACATTACTGCCCATCAAGAACCATAGAAATGTATGAGGCCAATGGCAGCAGTAATTCAATAAAATTTGTTCCTTGCATATCCAAGGAGTCTTTCATATTGTTTGTAGCTTGGTCAACATGGTGGGGAAATATGACATTTTGGCGTGGGAATGAAAAGCAAAATGGGATGGGGGTGGCTAAACAAAACTTCTTAATATGGTACATATATATGGCATGGAACATGGATGCCAATGGGACACTGGGTTGAAGGGGATAGGGTGGGGGTTAGGTTAGGTTAGGTTAGGTTAGGTTAGGTTAGGTTAGGTTAGGTTAGGTTAGGTTAGGTTAGGTTAGGTTAGGTTAGGTTAGGTTAGGTTAGGTTAGGTTAGGTTAGGTTAGGTTAGGTTAGGTTAGGTTAGGTTAGGTTAGGTCAGGTCAGGTCAGGTCAGGTCAGGTCAGGTCAGGCTAGGTTAGTGTAGGCTATGTTCTGGACTATTCCGGCCTGTCTGTTTCATAAACACACTTAGATGCGATAAGAAATGTTTTTATTGCATTATTATTGTTACCTTGGTCCCATACATTTGTTATGGTTCTTGATGAGCAGAAATATTGTAATTACGCAACGGCAACGCAGAAACAGCGCTGGGGAGTCGAGGCGGTGGGGTGCTTGCGGCGCACGGGAGCTCGCTATCGTAAATTTGAAGTTAGGAGCATGAATCTACCTGTTTTAAGATTATTCACGATATGTTCCGCCTTAAACACGACGAATGGTGTACAATGATTTTTTGTCTAACATTAGGTAGCAATGTATACCTACACCTCTCATCTCGCCTTGCCTCACCTTACCTCACCTCACCTCACCTCACCTCACCTCACCTCACCTCACCTAACCCACCCCTACTTGAACTTTACTTGTACTTTACTTCTACCTCTACTTCTACTTCTACTTCTACTTCTACTTCGACTTCTACTTCTACCCCTACCCTTAGCCCCACTCCACATGTATGTCCAATCCCAACCATTTGCCTCCCCATTCTCTTACCTGTACTCCTGCAGGCAGGAAGAAGGAACTAACAGCTTCAGAATGGCGTGTTTGGATACAAGTACAGTGCCAGACTTTCGTCATGTTAGATATCCAAATCTGCATGTGCATGCGTGCGTGCGTGTGTGTGTGCGTGTGTGCGTGCGTGTGTGTTCATGCCACAAATGACCCACATTGCTGTCAGTTGATGGCCCTGCTTAACCAGGTGTTTCAGGCACACCGCCTGGTGCTGACGATGGCCAGTCCTGTGTTCGAGGCAATGCTGTTTGGCGGCATGGCTGAGAAGGCGCCCATCAAGGTGCTGGACGTCAGCCCAGATGCCTTCCGCAGTCTGATGCTGTGAGTGGCTGGTCGCTGGCCAGTGATGGTGACACCTGCTGGCTGGCTCTCACCCCTAGTAAAGGAAGTTTGTTATTAGATGGGTCAGTCTGCATTTCCCAGTATTGCCTTGAAATCAGCTGATGCATTTGCACCATCACACAGGAAAACAGGATGGATCTAGTTGGAGTATTTGAGATGTATATGTATGTATTACTTCCACAGGGCTGTGGAGGCGCACAGTACTTGTGGGGGAGTTCTGGAAGGGTTGAGGTAGACTGATCACATGGGCAATGAGGCGTGACTATCACAGCCAAGTATTTAAAGTATAGGGTATAGAAATATGCAGGAAGAAACCAGATAGCACACGAACACCCAGGTGCCGGCTACCATAGCATGAGGGCTCAACATGTGCATTTCGCCGCGCGTACAGAACGCTGCTGTGCTGGTTGTGTGACATCGCAGTCCATTGTACAGTGCTGGGGCGTGGTACCCAAAACGTCTCCTACCGACCTCGGTTTTTGGCCCAGGGCGTTGTAGGAGCCTATCCTGCCGAGTGGGTCGCGCACGTGCGTCACGGCTTAACGTGAGCAAGTTTCTCAGCATATCGGGCTTGCTGTGTAGCAGCACCTTACAAGCCAGGGTGACTTACTGAAGTGCTGCCGTATGTAGAGGCGACATTCGTCGAACCGACACATGGAGGGCAGACACAGGTAAAATTTACGTCGGCCAGAAAATACTGTGGCAACGAAATTTAGAATCTTTTGGATTGTATCAAAAATTTTCGGTGTGCCGTTGCCTTAAACCTTGAGACAGCGTCCGACCTGCGTGGGCACCATCGCTGTCAGTAGAGTTTGTATAACGCCATCTGGAAGGCAGTGCCGCGCATGGGACAGGCCTATCAGCACGCCCACGCACCGGCGGCTGAGCTCAGACACGTGGGAATCCCAGGGCGCTGTCAAAGACGGCTCCCAGGTTCCTACCTCCGCACATGGCCGCGATGCAGCGTCACACAGTGTTGCGTTGACGTCCGGCAAGCTGCGTAGATTTGGACGAGTGTCGAAAGTGATAGCTATGTTTTAGTTGCCCATCGAAAAAAGCTTTCAGCTGATCGGCTGTCGCGTCTGGTCGGGTCGACTGCCCGCTCTTCTCAGCCACCACCGTCCCCATGCAACGCCACATTCCTCATGTCTTGTGTGTTTTTATTATACAGATCGAGGGACTAGTTGGCTCGACATTGTTTCGTTGACGCGCCTCACTTCTTGCAGCGTGCGATCTCAAATGACGCAGCGGACTAGTTCCAGCAGCGCTGGAAATGGGTGTCGGATATGCTTTAACATATGCATGATTGTGTGCTGTCATCTGCCATGTATTTCGTAAGCAGAGATAGGCCTCTGCGCAAGCTTTCAGAACCTCTTCAACAACCAACAGCCATGGAGCACAATGCACATGGCTTGCCTGGCCACCTGAAACTGCCCGTTGCGGCCTGCAGATATATCTACTCGGACCAGATCAACCTCCAGTCGTTTGACCAGGCCTGCGAGATCTGCTATGCCGCCAAGAAGTACATGCTGCCACACCTGGTGGAACACTGCACCAAGTTCCTGTGGAAGGACCTCGCACCCCACAACGTGTGTCGCGCGTACGAGTTCGCCAAGCTGTTCGAGGAGCCGGTGCTCATGGAGAAATGTTTGAAAGTGAGTGAACATCAAAGGTGTTAGCCCCGCAGGAGTTGTGTTTGGTCGGGGGTTTCTGTGGCCTTGTGGCGCCTTTCGGAACAGTGTGGAGATTTCATAGGCATATGGAACGTCGCGCCTAGGAAAGGACGACCTAAAGAGTGGTTGGTAACCGTTTGTTCTCATGCAGTGGGATCCAAAGCTTTATATCAGGAATCATTTTCAGTGGTTATCGTGAGCCGCCCGACAACTTACGTGTCATTTCCAGCGTGTTTTGTATTTGTTTTCGATCTGACCCATGACTGTGTGTTATGCAGGCTGTTTGCCACAAAGCACAGGTGAAACCAAGTATATATGACGTGTGTGACAAGCCGGAGGAACTGAGCGCCACATGTATATATATATATATATATATATATATATATATATATATATATATATATCTGTGTGTGTGTGTGTGTGTGTGTGTGTGTGTGTGTGTGTGTGTGTGTGTGTGTGTGCGTGCGTGCGTGCGTGCGTGCGTGCGTGCGTGCGTGCGTGCGTGCGTGCGTGCGTGCGTGCGTGCGTGCGTGCGTGCGTGCGTGCGTGTGTGTGTGTGTGTGTGTGTGTATATATCTATACATATATATAGCTATATACATATATGTGATTTATATAGATAGTAGCATCGAAGAAGTTGTTATGTGCAAGCGCATACCCGGGTAGACGGCGGCCGTTTTAGATGTAGTCGTATAACGTCCACTGAGCGCTGCACTGGCGATCCGGATCCAGGATTCTATCTAGTTAGACATCGCCTGCGCCATTTGCCGGTTATCGCGGCTCTCTGACAGTATCGGCAGACTCGATCTGTCGGCGATCGGCTGCAGCCAGGTCACAGACGCCCGCCTGTCGCAGATCATTACGCAGCAGACGGCGAAAGTGATCGGCACATCGGCCATCGAGGACGTGGAGCACGCGTCGCTGATCGCCATCCTGGAGCAGGTGAGGCCCGCCGCGAGCCGCGCGCATCTGCGAGCTGCGAAGTTCGCGGCACGACAGCTGTCAGGCGCACACGCGGAGTATCTGTCTCGTGCACTCGCTTCAGAGTGCACAAAAAAATTAAACTGGAGTCAGCTCCGTGAATAGCTGGCGGACGCGGGACGTCCATTATCGAGGATCTGCCGCCGAGAGTGCTCAAGCGGGAGTGACCGACGAGCAAGAGACGCGTGGACAATTACCGGGGCTGCCAGTGCTCCTGTTTTGACGTGGTGGTGGCGACATGCGTGAAAGGATGTGCCTCGCGAGTTCGCCGAGCCATATAACGACCGGTTATCGGTAATCTCACCGACACTGCATTATGACAGACAGATAATCTATAGCACGTCCTAGAGCCTAATGCGCCGTGAGCTCGCGCCTCACAGTCCTTGGAACGACTCACGTTTGCGATTGAGACGCCCGGCTTGTCCGTTGCCCCGCAGAGGCCTGGCGCACCCACTGCCCCCGCTGGGTCCTGGCGCGCCCACTGCCCCGGCAGAGGCCTGGCGCGCCCACTGCCCCCGCTGGGGCAGGCGCGCCCACTGCCCCCGCTGGGGCCTGGCGCGCCCACTGCCCCCGCTGGGGCCTGGCGCGCCCACTGCCCCCGCTGAGGCCTGGCGCGCCCACCGCCCCCGCTGGGGCCTGGCGCGCCCACTGCCCCCGCTGAGACCTGGCACGCCCACTGCCCCCGCGGGGGCCCTGGCGCGCCACTGTCGCCGCGATGACCCTGCCCAACCTAACCCTGCTGACCCGTGACCCGCGCGACGTCGGCAGAACTACCTGAACGTCGGCTCCGAGCTGGACATCTTCAACATGCTGGTGCGCTGGTCGCGGAAGGAGTGCCAGCGCCGGCCGCTCGATATCAACCCCGACAACCAGCGCATGGTGCTCGGCGACGCCCTCTACCGGGTACGGTGCCGGCGGCGCCCTCTTGCAGAGGAGCCGGGGCGAGACGATGACGGCGCCCGTGATCGGATGCGTTGTCCCTTTTTTGGGGGGGGGGGGGAGTCATAGTGAAGGCGACGAAACCAGACTGGATTGACGCATCTGCCGGACGCGGTGCGGGGGCATACCACTGTGGAGCATGAGGGACGAGGAGATCAGGCCACGTCGCTGATAACGACGCAGGTGCTCTGTTCAACTCTGGCACGGGTATTGTGGCGGAAATGTCACGGACTCGGGCCTACCGGTTGGTGGCATGAATGTGTGAATGTGCTACTGTGCTGCGGTTACAGAATGAAAGCAAGTTTTCCAAGATCTCGGTAGCAGAGAGCACGCTTATTAGGTGTTTGTTGCAACATGCGATTATCGGTAGCCGCAAAACCGGCCGAAACGCGCGGGATTATCGTTTTTCAGATGTGTCAGTTACTTTTTCTTGCTATCCACACGAAATAATGCTTGGATAATCAAAATAGTTAATGACGGCTCAAACAGGATAATGCATAGTTGCGTCGTGTTTAACCGGAAGTACTTGATTGAGGACCGGGTAGCTGTCATTTGGAACTAAAAACCATTTGACCAGCATACCATGTAAACCCATTCGTGAATTAAACCGACAAAAGTAGCCAATTGACCAACCCGTGATGACCAGCTTATGAAATTTCGATACTCAATGTTTTAAACAGAGCCCAACTGCATATCACAATGTTTGGGCGCTTGTGAAGTATCTTGTTTGCTGAGTGCCGTGGCGTGCGCGGCACCAGTGCTGGGGCTGCGGCGCTGACTGTCGCCCACCGGCGTCGCCAGGTGCGCTACCTCACCATGAACGGCCAGACGTTCGCCAACGGGCCGGCCGTGTCGGGCCTGCTCACCCAGGAGGAGAGCCTCGCCATCGTCATGAACATCCTCACGCCGGGCAAGTGGCCGCTGCCCGACTACCTGGACAGCTCCTGCACGCCGCGCAACTCGTACCAGGCGGCGCCGGCCGGCGCGGCGGCCGACAGCGCCGAGGCGAGTGGGGCACAGGTGTGCGCGCGCCCCATCCTGGTGGAGCCGCACCAGCTGATCCGCTGCCAGGAGGAGGCGCTGCTCACCGTGTCCGTCGACCGCACCGTGCGCACGCTGGGCATCATGGTGCCCTCGCAGGTGACGGACATCCCCACCGACTGGCTTCCGTCTCAGTCGCGGCGCAACACGCCCGGCGCCAACCTCAACTACGGCCAGAACGGCTACACGGAGCTGCTGTACGCCTACGTGGCGGACGCCGACGGCTCGCGGCTCACATACACGCACTTCACGTCGCGCGTCAACTACAACGACGTCGTGGAGATCCTCTTCAATCGGCCGGTGCTGATGCACGCCAACCGCGTGTACAGGATCGGACTCGTGCTCAACAAGCTCGGCTGGTACCCCATGGGCGTCAGCACGACGCAGGTGCAGGCGGACGGCGTCACCTTCAGCTTCGGCATCGGCAAGCCGGGCGACAACGTCAAGAACGGCCTCATCCGCAAGATCGTGTTCACCACCGACTGCTTGCCGCCGCCGTGAGCCGGCCGCCGCGACGCGACGCGGCGCGGTACCGATCGTTTTTGTGCCATTGTGTGGGATGGTTGTGAGGCCTGTGGTGTAAGGACCGAGCTTATGGTGGGTGAAGTGCTAGGAGACAAACTGGAGGCTGGTCAGCTGCGTTTTACGGCGGCGCCCGGCGTGCGCGAAAACCCGCGAATGTGCTCATCTGTGTTTGCTGTGTCTCCCGTATTCAGTGTTCGTTATCTGTCGGCTCTCTTCATATCATGGGCAGCTTTGCATATGGTGGAACGGGGTGTGCTGCTGGGAGGTGGCTCGGCTGTCCGGTGGTTAGGCGAGCAACAATAACTAGTATATGAGGTCCCATTTCGTAACATGACTAAGACACTTGAGCTGGAGGCTGTCGCTGACGGTCCCGATCCGGTGGTGTCGCTGGCCTCGAAATCGCGACCTGCTGGAAGGCGACTGGTTTTTGTGCGATATAAGCGTTTGACAGGAAACAGGGGAATGTAACGTGCAATGTTAAATCTTCACAGAAGTGCTCTCCTTGCTTGAGGTAATGGCGGGGATCGTGTGGGCTGTGCATGTGAGCCTGCCGAACCGCGCGCCGAGATGTTTCAAGCGTGTCCAAGTAGCCATCCACAAATCGAGAGCACTGGTAAAACCGAGTGCATCTCGTAGAGAATGTCACCAAAATATACAAGGAAAGCTACGGAGTCCAGCTGTTCTATGTGCGGGCGCCTACGGTCTTTGTGATGCCTGGGCGGCTGACCGACGCCGCAACCCTGCACAGATGCTGGCAGTGGCGGTGCTCCTACGGCGTGGGGAATATAGACCAGCGGCCTGCACGCCGACCCCAGTGACCGAAGCCCCGGCGACGGGACGCCAGCACATTACCGGGACCCAGTGCGGTGCCCCCGCACGTGTACACATACGCATAAACCTAGCCTTTATGCTTCTTAATCGTGAGCAATGAAGAGCCAGCATGGAGGCGCGAGGTCTTGGAGGTGGGCAAATACTGCCCCGAAACCAGAACTACCCATGGGAGCTTCTCAGTTACCTAGGGTCATCAGGAGGCCATCGCGCATGTTTTAAAGCATAGCGTGCCCATGATGCTTATTCGAAATGCGGATCCCATGCTCTGTAATGGAGATATGATAGGTAAAGCCAAGGGAGAGGTGTTCATTCCAAGATCTCCATCCATCCCATCTGGCGTGCTCTTCGAATTCAAAAGCATCCAGTATCCTGTCGCACAGAGCTGCACCATGACCATGAACAAGAGCGAATGCCTGTCGGTGGTAACAGGTCTTGACCTGATTTAGTCAACCTTTTTTTCGGGGTTATGTTAACGTCGACAGCTCCAGAGTCCGTAGCCAACCCGTTCAGTCTGTCGCGTGAGGGCAATGATAAGAATATGGTTAAGGAAAACACTACAACTATAAAATATGGTGCAGGGATTCAGCTGCAACCGGATCACAGAAGGTCCGAATGGGGAGTGCGAAGATTTTGGCGTCCCTGGAATGGGGTGCCCACAACAATTCAGGTATTGGGGGTCTTCAAGGGCCCTCGGATTTGGTTCCCTCGAAGGTAAAGGCAATCAGGGCACCCCGAAGTGGTTTCCTTCTTTTGCATGGGGTGACCAAGGGTTCGGTCGAAGGCAAGGCATGGACATTGCGGTGTATGGCACCCCTGGAGTTTGATGTGCCTCGAAATCGAATGCTGTGGTGCCCCTTACGGTGCCCCTGAAGTTTGTTGGCTCTAGGAAAATAAAGTTGATGGTTTTCCAAGATGTGGGTTTTTGTGCCCCTTCACTATGACATTTTGGTGTCCCTCCAGCGTCGCAAAACCTGATGCACGGGCCAAGGGGGGGGGGGGTGAATAGACCCATAACCCCCTTTCTGGATCCGCCCCCGGGCCAGTGACTCCGTCGTATTTGGACATGGCGCACCCACAGCGGCCGTTGACCTATCATTATCCTTATAACGTCAACTCCGACCTTAAGTTGGTCCTTAGTTGGTTCGACCTTAAGTCCGAACTAAAAATATCCCCAGTTTGAAACTTAAATTGAAACGAACATGTCCATACATCGAAATGCCTTATGAATCCCCAGCCCTCCCATTTTGTTTCGTATGGCTCGCCTCGAACGTAAGTCACGCCTCAACCTCCAGTTTTGAAAGCACATTTTTCATGTCGGTGCTATTGGTCACTGCCGTGCGATTGAACGAAGGGTATTTTTTTTTTTGTAAATGGCTCCCAAATAAAGTGCTACCAGATAACAGTCCAACTTCTGCTGCGTTGTGTTTGCCGTCCTCTTTATAAGCGCACTTTTATGGGCAGATCAAACTCAATGAATTAAGGAGCTCGGGCCTGGTTTTTGGAGGCGGGGCAGTCAGTCGTTGTGATTCGCCCAGGCCGGTACTAAATTGTGTTGTTTAAGGTGAGCTTTTTATGAAGTGGTATTCAGACATGCTTCACTTTTTTAAGAACACAAATCACCGCGTCAAGGTTCATCGGTAGTCAGGCATTGGCTTTTTTGGTTACCTGGTTCCAACCAATGCTCATATGACCGTGTTGAATTTTCAGTTTTTTTTTTGCTCAGCCTACCTGCCTTCTGGTTCCTGGCATCCCTGGTTGACAGATGGTCATGTGTTGCAACACTGTGTGCAGCATTGTGTTGAATTTATCTTGGTGAATCTAGTCTGAGAAAGCCAGTGTATTTATTTTTTGGCGCAGCAAAGTAGCTGTGTATATTGTTTAAAATGACAGGTTAGTATTGGATGATCATGTTGTGTTGAGCATCCTGCTGAGAAAGAAAAGAATGTCCAGTAAAACAAAATGCTCACTAGTTTCAAATGCTTAATACCAGAGCCTTACTGTAGTATGCCAGCATCTACAATGCTAAATGTAAGCAACCAAAGGCATGCTTACCATCTTTAAACACAACCTGTACTTAAATTTTACAGCATCAATCAGATAGCACTCTGGTAACAGACTACACAAATGTAAAGTATCATGTCTGCAATGCAGCACAAATTTAGTATTAGCTTATTGCATCAAATTCTACACTTTGTATTAGCTTTGCCTTGAGTGAATGAGGCCTGAAGACAGGCCTGAGTGCACAGTTTGTCTTCAAGTTTTATTTGCATGGTACTGCACACCTTGACTGACTGGCAGAAGATAGGATTGGACTATGCATCAAATCCATACTTCAGAGTAGAGGCCCATTGCAGCTGGCTGTTGAGGAAGCAGTCATGCAGCACACAAAACTGGGCCAATGGTCATACTGCACAGATCCAGGCACAAATGTATGGACTTATGGTAGCCATTGCACAAAATGTTTTGATCCTTTTATTCTGTCCTAGTGCACTGATGCTGCTTGGGTGACTGAACAGGAAATGTTGGCCTAAGTTTAATGTGGGTGATACACAAGAGGAGATAAATGCCATGAGTTCTAGGGTTTCTTCTAGGTTAGTCTGAAGAACCAGTTTCAGCTGGTTATAATGCCAACCCTGTGGACACTTCCATGTCCATCATTAATGCTGACTTAAATTAAAACTTACAGATTCATGATTTGCAAAAATGATTGTCCAAAAACTGGATTGAAATCAATGTTTTCAACCAGTTTGTAGGTAAATGGTCAGCAGCCTGTCTTCCATGCTTGGCCCTGCTCACTATGTAGTTTACTCCAAGCATCATTTTGCAAGATTGCATTGTTATAGGATCAAGAGATCACCCTATATCCTGAATGTTTGTGATGAAATTTACTAGCCCTAGTTCTGTAAATGATTGTTGAAAAAAACAGTTATCATTTACATTCATGCAGAGAAAATGTTTCAAAGGACCAGTGTGGAAAGCTGCTTATATCATGCCTTCAATGTGGTGCTTGTATGTCAGCCTTGCTGCTGGTTATTGTGTGCTTTTAAGCAGCCACTGAATTGTGCCCCCCCCCCCCCCCCCCCCCCCAGTGACATCAACCATTTTAAACCCAGGCAGAAAAATGCATTCTGGCATGATGTCACAACTAATAGAACATCCTTGTTTTTTATTTTGGTATATAAGCCATGCAAGTTCAGCAAATGTATCTTGTTTCAGGTGGCTCCATCACCACCCAATAAATCCCACTTAGTTTTGTTCCACTTTGCATTGCAGGCCAGCAGCCACGTTGCTTGCTAGCCCTTGCCACATCATCCCACCAGCCCACCAGCCTTGCCCAACTTGACCAGTCCCTCAGAGACCATCCCACCATTCCTACACCATCCCACCAGTCCCCTCACACATCATCCCACCAGTTCCCTCACACACCATCCCACCAGTCCCTCACACACCATCCCACCAGTCCTGCACACACCATCCTGAGTCCCACACACACCATATCACCAGGCCCTCACTCACCATCCCACAAGTCCTGCACACACCATCCCACCAGTCACTCACACACCATCCCACCAGTCCTGCACACACCATCCTGAGTCCCACACACACCATATCACCAGGCCCTCACTCACCATTCCACCAGTCCAACACTATCCCACCTCACACACGATCCTTCCAGCCCACACCGTCCCACCAGCTCTCCGCACCAGCCTACAAGCCCACTAGTCCTGCTGCACCGTGCCAATCTCCTCCACACCATCCCAGCAACTCCATCTCTCACCATCCCACCAGTTCCTTCCACACCAGCCTCTCCTATAACAGCCTTCCAGCCCCTCCACAACATCCCAGCAGCATCACCAGGCCTCCCCGCCACCATCCCAGCCCCGCCCTAGCATGAGCCGGCTAGCGCCGCCCAAGCGCGACGCTGCCGCCTCCTCCGACGAGGAGGTGCTGGACGACGTTCCGATCGACGACTTCACGGCGTCGACGCTGCAGCTGGCGGCCAGCCCGTCGCCGGCGCCCGAGGCCGACCGGGCCGTGTCGGAGGAGGCGGTGCCGGTGGCGCGCGTGCCGCCGCCGGCCGGCACCATCTACGCCCCGGACGGCGCTGTCTCGCCAACGGCCACGCCGCCCACTGGCGGCGACTCGCCGGCCGGCAGTGGTGGGTCGTGCTCTGCGGTCTCAGACTGCGCTTTGGGGAAGGGGCGGGGGAGGGGCGTCACCTGGGATGGGTATAGTCGGACCGGGGAAATTGCCATGTGTGTGTCAAAAGACTCGTTAGAATTTCCGTTGAGCGTTGTTCTATCTACATTGCGGTTCCCGGCGGAGAACGCAACGCGGTCTGCGTTTCAACACCATGACGAGCAGCGATGCCAGATGCTGCTAGTGTCCACCACGCACCTGGGCTCGGGCTGTAGCCACGCTATGGATTGAACCGACTGCGGCCATATATTCATCCGGACGCCACACGCAAAGTAATGGAAAATGAACTTGTACAATCATACAATGACGTTTCCGAAATCTAGAAATGATGAACAGACATATCTGCATTGCCCTGGTGCCGTGCTGTATGCCGTGAATGATGGTGTGTGGGTAGGCGTGTGCCCTCACTGCTGCGAGTTTGTGAGTAACAGTTGACAGTTCCTTATGTCGTCTACATATGCCTAATTTACACGTTCGTTTGTTTTGAAATATGCGCTCATTATCATTAGTACGTGTGTTTATGCTTACATACGCCTTTCCTTGGGTTCACTCCAGATGCCAACTCGAAAACATTCTTTTCCACGCGTTCTGGCGCGTTTGAGTCGGCGGTCAGCAAATGCAAACTGGTGCTGCTGCCGTCGGATGGCAAGTTCCACAGCGCCTGGCTACTGACACTGTACGTGGTGCCTCCCACTGTATTAGATGGACGTGTTTCATTGGCGTGCCTGCTATGCCAGCGTTCTGTGGTGGCCTATGCTGTGGTTGGCCAGCTGCTGACGGGGTTTTCAGCAACGTTGTGCGTCGCTTCTGCGCGGTCACTCAAAATGAGGTCAAAATTTGCATATCTTAAACATATGCCTGCATTGCAACCCGATGAGTTTTGTTTACTCCGAAGAAATCGGTTATGATTTGCTCGGTCCTCGTCCTCATCTCCACTCCCATCTTCCGCCGCAGGATCGACCACTGGGACGTAGAGAAGGAGCGGCTGGTGCTGCTGACGGAGCGCGCGCTGCTGGTCATCAAGTATGACTTCATCTCGCTGCAGGCAGTGGAGGTGACGCGTGTGCGCCTCAACACGCCCGACCGCGTCACCATCGGCGAGCTCACCTACCCGCACGCCTCCATCACGCCGTGAGTGGCTGGCGCGCGCGCGCCGGCGCCGCGGCCGCTAAGCGTGGCCCGCCACCCACTGCGCTGTGATGTCAGCATGCTCTCCAGATGGCAATGAGCGAGGGGAAATACACGCTTCTCAGGGGCCTAAGCAAGATACCGCTGTGTGTGGTGTGGGTGTGGGTGTGGGTGTGGGTGGGTGCGTGCGTACATACTCTCGGGGAAGATGCGGCTTTCTCGATTTATGTATTTTTACGCGCTTATTTGCAATTTTTAAGCATTCACGTTTTTCACGCACATGTCACAGCATGCACTAAATTTGGTATGGGAGAAGGGGGAGGGAAGTGCATGGACCTCTCGGCTAATAGGTGTGTACGTCCCGGCTCCTCTTACGCGGCGCGAATCCTCGTGGTAGCTGGAACATCACGTCAGCCCGTCCGTGTCCAAACCGTTCGACGCCTGCTGGCAGCCGTCAGCGTTGTTCTGCTGTTGCCCCAGAAGTATTGCCTGACCATCCACTCGCCGGTGCCATTTCCGGTTCGCGCGCGATGACGTCATCGCCTTGCTGACCCGGGCGCCGGTCCGCACGTGACGCTCGCCCCCATCGGCAGCCGGATATCTGGCATCGCCGGCGGCCTGGTGTCTGTGGTGAAAGGCTGCCTGTTCGGCCGCGTCGGCCAGACGCTCAGCCAGCTGCGCCAGTGCGCGCCTGGCCAGCGCGACTCGGGCACCGTCTCGACTGCCGACGGCATCAGCTTCCAGCCCAGGTCAGATCTTCCAGAGCTTCCAGCCCAGGTCAGATCGGCCCCCGGTGTCGTTGTCTGGTGGTGTCGCCTGTCAGGGGTGCCTTTTGGTGTTGTCCGTTGTCGTCTGCCGCTGTCCTCTGTCGGTGTCAGTGTCCGTCTCGGTGGTGTCGTTTGCCGCTGTCTACTGTTGGTGTCAGTATTCGTCTCGGTGGTGTCTGCCGCTGTCCTCTGTCGGTGTTGGTGTGCATCTCGGTGGTGTCGCCTGCCGCTGTCCTCTGTCGGCGTTGGTGTGCGTCTCGGTGGGGTGTCTGCCGCTGTCCTCTGTCGGTGTCAGTGTCCGCCTCGGTGGGGTGTCTGCCGCTGTCCTCTGTCGGTGCCAGTGTCCGCCTCGGTGGTGTCGTCTGCCGCTGTCCTCTGTCGGTGCTAGTGTCCGTCTCGGTGGTGTCGACGGTCGATGCCCGTCGGTATCGTCTGTCTCCTCAGCTGTTGTACGTTATCTCGTCTGATCGTGTTGCCGGCCGGTGTCGCCTCTCCCATCCCTCTGTGTCAGTTTTCTCCTCATCTATCTTAAATCGTCGCATATGTCGGTGTCGCTATGCCGTGTGTCTAGTGGCCTCTCGCGGCTGACGTGGCTCACAGCTCCCCAGCGAGTCAGACGGGGGGTTTGTGGCCTCACTTTGATCAGTGGTCTCCGTGTCTGTTCGGTGGTGCTTGGCCAGTCTGTATTTCGCCGTGTTTTGTTTCGGGCTGCTCGTTTCTGGCGCCTTCGTTGTGTAGTCAACGTAGCCACATGTGACGTTCAGACTGTTGCGACTGATAGGTTGACTGTTTGGCCGGATTTTTTTGTCGCCTCCGTCAGTCGTTACAAAGAGGATGGTGTAAGCTCGCGGCCATGTCGTCATCGGTAAACAATCCGACATGTACATTAGACATTGCGCGCAAGAAGACGCTGGTAATCGACATCAGTCACTCGCGAACGGTAAATGGCCGCCGGCCAGTCTGTACCAGCTCGTCAGACGTCTGTATCGGGGCGCGGCTGTCCGCCCGCCCGGCCTGTGACGGTCGTGCGTCGCCTCGGCCGGCGCGCCGCGGCCCCCGCTGACCCCTCCCGCCGGGCAGGTACCGGCGCGCAGTGGGCGTGCGCATCAGCTGGGACTGTGGCCGGCCGCTCTCCCTGGCTCAGAACTGGAACCCGCTGGCCCGCGACATCCCCTTCATCACGCTCACATCGCACTCGCTCTTCTGGGACAGGAGCGAGGAGCCCGGTAGGTGGTGCGCGCCGCCGCTGCTGTCGCCGCCCCGTCCCGCCCCGGCCGCCACTGGCGGCGCAGGCGGCGCGGGTGAGCGCTGGGCAATCAGTGTTTGTTTGTTTGTCAATGTTTTGTGAACGCACGCCGCAGGAGACTAGCATGCTGATGTGTGGTGGCGTTCGCGCCAACCGAGCGATACGTAAACTTCGTTACGGCTGCTTATGGGGCAAGAAGCTAGTGCAATGTCTTATTCTCAGTTGCCGTATGGTGGGATTGACACGTGGAATCGGCGGTCAATTAATGAAAACATTTTTTAGCCTCGACTGGACGTTTTGCAAGCTTTAAACAGCATCTCTCACTTGCATTCGCCATCCCTTTGTTAATCGTTTCTTGCTGGGGGTTAAATTGTGATTCGGTGTGCATGGGGTTTCGTGTCTATTTATGCTGACTTGGGCCCTTGCGAAGGGAGTTTACCCGCCTGTCACCGTGTGGTCTCTGCAGTGAGTTCACTGTCACCGTGTGACCACCGCAGTGAGTTCACCGTCACCCGCCTGTCACCGTAAGATCACTGCAGTGAGTTCACTCCACCTGTCACCGTGTGGTCACTGCAGTAAGCTCACCGTCACCCGCCCGTCACCATGTGGTCACTGCTCCGCCGTCGCAACTCCAGGGCTTGCTCTGCCGGGCAGGTCACCAGTGGGAGCGGTACAGCGTGCAGGCGTTCAGTCGTCCGCTACTGGAGCTGGTGGGCAGGGAACAGGAGCGCCCCGACACACCCTCCCACTGCGTCGTCGAGCGCGCACCCATCGTCATCAGCAACTACGTCGGCGTCTTCAGCCTCCTGCACAACGCCACTGACCTGGGCTTCTTCAAGAACCGCGGGCGTGTCAGCTTTTAGGCCAGCTCGGCTGGCCCGCCGTTTTCTGATCTGATCCGGTTGTGTCCGGTTTGGGCGGGTTTGATCAGGTACGCTCCAGTCGGACGAAGGAGACACGGCGGTGAGTTGGACTGACGGTCGCGATGTTCGCTCCCGGTTCCGGGGCACGTCATGCGGCAGCTGTGTGGGGGAGCATGTAGTCTTCTGATAACGCTGAATGTATTGGTGGGATGACGCGAGTTTTTGAGTGGTCCCACCAGTTACCAACGTTAAGCGTTTCCCGGTTAAGAACCAAGTGATATTGTTTTGCCGTGCATGTATTCATGACATGGTGTGCGAATATTATGCGCTAAGACAGACCGGTGATTTATTTGACGTGTTTTTTCTTGTTTTATCTTTTTTCTTATGTGCCTCCATGTTCAGATATAAAATCTTTCTTGATGGAGTAGCAGTGCCGAGTAGACAACGCCGCTCTGCTTGTTCTATTACATAGCTGAAGCGCAGCATTGCAGTGACCGGGACGAAACTTTCTCTCGAACGATAAAGACTGCCGACATATACTTATCTAGGGCTAGAGTGGCGTATATTGTATCAACTGTACCAAATATTAAAAGACAATGACTGCTGATTTAGTTGCGTGTCCTCAAGGCTTGGACGCACGATAATCGCTTTGAGTTTAAAGGTCCAATTAATTAATTGGTACATGGCCGATCACGGGAACGAAATATGCGTCTTGCACCGAGATCTTAGCAACGGAACCGAAAATTTCGGCGACGATCTGGGCATGTCACGCGCGTGCCAGCGGCGGCACGTGGCTGACTTACCTTCCTGAGCATGCGTTTCAGCAGAGTTGGTGTGCTGAGCAATGTCAAGAGTGTGGCTGTGGTTCGAGGCATTTCCATACATTCCAGTGATGTTGTGATGTGAACTGTTCCTAAATCGCTCCCGGTGCGGCGCTTTGACCCGTTCTATTCATTCACTAGTCATTCTCTCTACAGGCGTGTTGTTTTGCAATGTTTATACTTGTGACATCCGCATTTATGACATGTTTGGGGCGTCGTTGCTGTTTGGAGATTGTAGGCCAAATGCCTCTCCGCCGTAGCAGCGGTCGTCGCTTCTTTCTGCCTTCTAGATGCGAAATGGGTCTAACAACCAAATAAACAGGGTAAGATGTATGGTGCGTGGAACTTTGCCCTTTTGGTGGTGCACACTATCACGCGGGCCAGAGGCCTGTTTACAGAGTATGGATGCAGAGTAACTGACTAACCGGTCTGGGTCGATGCCAAGAGCCAGGACCGCTGGGACGATCGTCTCACTGGTTACACAGCTATCTCATTCTCCCTCAGGAGTCGGTGCGAGGGGCTTAATGTCGCCCCACATGAAATGGTTTGGTCAATGTACCGATAGCTACACCAGTTGCCACGCCCAGATCGCGGAAACGGTACATCGACCCACCGTGGAACTCTGATCTAGATACCACGGCTCGAAGCTGTAAGGCGCCAATGCTTGACTGTGTACTTTTCCGACAACCGGTACAATGTTGAAATACGGCAGTGCGGGTCGTGATCACACGTACCGTGGTTACGGCGCATGCGTAGTCATCTCTTACTGCATCAGCTACGCTAGAAGTCATTGCTCCGTCAACACGGACGTCTCGCGGTGACGCACTCGGCTGTTGTCACCGGCGGCACCAGTAAAACCTCACGTCATACCGCAGAGGCTCGTGTATTGCGACGGATGAACGCCGGCCACGTTGAAGTCACTACATGACGGTGGGGACGGTTCCTTGCACTTCTGTGCGCGCGGAGTCGCCTGGCACGGCTGGCGCCCAGCGTCGCGGTAACGCCCACGGCTGGCGCCCAGTTCAGCGCTGTACTCTGTGCAAACCCCACCGTCCACATATGCACGTTGCCCAGTTAGTACGTCTGTCACGTCATTAGCAACACCCTTCAATGCATGTACATCAAGTAGGATGTTACGTTGGCTGGGATAAAATAACCACGACAGCATCCGCATTCAGTACGGTGACGTCATAACATCCGCACGAGGAACGGCTTGCGAAAAACACTAGAGCTACTCATTGGAATGAGAGCACAGCTGGAGTTCGGAAAGAAAGGGAGCCCACTGCGTGTCAGTGGACACCTTGTCATTTCGCACATGTCATCCATGTAAATCCGTGCTGAGACAAGATGCGTTCGCACAAAACACTTCAACACGCTGTCTGCATTTTGTGTTTCACTCCACAAGAAAAGGGTACATTTGATGGCGTTGGATTCCTGCTATGACAAGCAGCACATCACTTGCATGTTTCGCATGCCCAGCGCAATTAGGGGCCAAACGGACTTTACTTTTTAAGACGTTACTCCTAAGACAGTGGGGCAGTATTTGGTTGCCCAGTGTAACCCGTGCAAACGTGGGTGGATACGCACAGGAAGACGTGGTGCAGGTTATGGAGGTCTCTTATTTAATATGGGGCAAATTATTCCTGCTCCAGGCACATGCGTTTGTATCGAACGTCACTCCACACAGGTTTGAAACAACACGCCACATAAATGGATGTGCTTCATTTCCGCTTTCTCATAACGACGCATGCCGATATCTAGCACGCATCAAATTCTGCCGACCTAAGTGTTGCGTTTTGTTGTAGCGGTGTCAGAAAAGGCGAAAATTTATCTGCATTAACTGAATTGGCCTATTTTTTGTCATCCGCCGTTCATAACTGGGAAATCTTCCGATGTCCCCTAGATAGACGGGAAAGACTGCGTGATATCTAGCGATATAGTTTTTCATTCAGTTGAGCCGGAAGGCTTTGGCCCTCGAAATTGGGCTTCAGCCCCTCCCCCAACTTTGAAAAAGTGGGTCAAATGCAGTGAAATGCCTGTTTGATGGCGCGTTTCGGGGTCATGTAGTGATGTTCTCTCATTGTTAAGCTTCCCAACTCGCTCGGCAAAACTGCCCCCTGGTTATATGTAGTCGCTCTAAGAAATAAGTCTCCCTTAACAATGCTAGTAAAATATACTGTAAGTTGTCACACCCAAAGCATACCATTGCCATGGTCCCCGAAATTCGTAACCTTGCGTTGTCAAAGTAAAAGTCAAGCAATTGCCGTGGCTCGGACCAAAACCGAATGCCGAATCAAACATTCAGCATTCATGGCATTCTTTACATGTCAAGCACTCCGAGTCCCTCATTATGACTCGCTAAGTCGGTCTACGCAAATATCGAACTGCGCAAAGGCGAGCATACTCAGACGCGGCGCGACATGCCTGCAGCTATCCCGCGCAACACTATCCATACACACACACACACACACACACACGCACACGCACACACACACGCACGCACACACGCACACACACGCGCACACGCGCACACGCACACGCACACGCACACACACACACACACATGCACACACACACACACACACACACACACACACACACACACACACACACACACACACACACACACACACACACACACACACATCCCATCGATGCAGAACCCTTGGTTTGCTGTCGTTCACCGTAGCATCAACGCAGCCGCTAATGCCAACCTAGCACCACAAACGGGCATCGCCGCCTCCACCGCCATTCCATCTGTGAGTCAAAAGCGCAAGCTGGTATTCGCGTCGCGGTCACGTGTCGGGGGTGGCGCTGGCGATCTCTAAGCGGATGACGTCACTGGCACCGCAGTCGCACTTGACGGGCTCGGATGACGTCACCTCGTCGGCGTCGGAGAGTTCTGACTGGTGGCCGTCAGGTTCGACGTAGTGGGTGGCGCAGAACTCTGCCATGCGTTCGCATGCCTCAGCGCATGAACTCGGGCGGCACCGTCAGTACCAGACGCACGTAGTTGGCCAGATCGAAACACTGAAACCGGGGTGAGATTTCGTTAGCAAGTTGGGGAAAACATGCGAGCCGCCTTTGTTCCTTTTACGCAGCACAAGTGTCACAATAGCGCCTAGAAAAAACCAATGCGTTCCATAACAAACATTTTTTTATTAAAAAAAGCTCCATCCGTAACTAAAACGCCGCAGTTGGAAGTTCGAGCTCCGTAACCATGTATCGCGCTTCGGTACGAACCGCAGCTGATGCGTGGCTCCCATACTCGACCGGCTCAAACGGACTCAAAGATGTGTCAGGCAGCGCGTTTATTCCGACAGATCAAAATTCCGCTGCAGGAAGTCTGCTGCAAAGGCACCAAAATAGAACATTTTTACTCTTGCTCCCAAAACGTGATGCTGCACACACAGCATTGGAAAAAAAACGAATGTCGAGCATGAAAGTGGCAACGGTGGTACACCTGAGCCCTGTAGACATGTAACTAACACAGAATGGGACCAGAACGGGTCCGGGCTTCTTAATATAAACAACGTGTTGAACAACACCTTCGTCTCTCGGGCATACGCCACCCAGTGTAAGGGATGACACCCTAACAAGGATGAGGTAAGCGGGAAAGGGGAGGGGCAGTGGGGGCAGCTCACCCCTCCCTCCAACTTAAAAGCTGGGGCGGAGGGGGGGGGGCATGCAAATGTCTATCCTGGCCTGTCAAGGACTCATTCTAGGCTATTAGGGTCCCTTCTAACCACATGGGAGCAATTCTGATCCTGGAGAGGAGCCATTCTGGCCTGTAGTGACCCATTCTGAACTGTAGACGGCTCATTATTAACTGTAGCGGGGCTACTGTGGCATTAAGGGAGCCCACTACCCAATCTTAGACAGCCCATTCCGGCATTTTTGAGTTCCTTCCCCTCCCCTCCCAACATGAACATAGTACCCGCGCCCACGCACCCAAATCGCCCTTGGCTACATCGCTGTCGGCTGCATGCCCAACGTAATCAGCAGGACGCCAGGTAGTGCACCACAGATCTGGGCTGGGGCTGTGGGTGCGTCTGCGACTGGGTCTGGGCCTTGGCCTAGGCCTGAGACTGGGCCTGGGCCTGGGACTGGGATTGAGGCTAACACTAAAACTGGGGCTGGGACTGGGGCCAAGGGTGGGGCTGGGACTGGGGTTAGGACCGCGACCGCGACCGCGACTGCGACTGTGACCGCGACTGCGACTGCGACTGGGACTGGGACTGGGACTGGAACTGAAACTGGAACTGGAACTGGACCTGGAACTGGAACTGGAACTGGAACTGAGACTAGGACTGGATCTGGGGTTGGGCTGGGGTTGGGGTTGGGGCTGGGGCAGGGGCAGGGGCTTGGCATAACATGGTTGGAGGCGGCGGACTTGGGGAAGGCAGGGACCAGTTACCCACTGCCAAATCTGGGCAACATTTGACATGGCGGCAGTACCCATCACGAAAGCGGCAAGTTACGTCGGTGTTTCCTAGGGGATCCGCCACCTCTGGGCATAGCATCCTCAGAGGATCCGCTTCCACTGGGCATGACATCCTCAGAAGATACGCCACCACTGGGCATGGCATGATAGAGTAGAAGACGGGACAGCGAGGGGGGTGGGGGCAGTTACATCACAACAGAACAGTACAGAACAGGCCAGGACAGGTCAGCAGCCCGGGCAGGATGGAAAAGCACCGCGTTGAAGAGTGCACGACAGGGACAGCAGGATGGGACAGGACAGGGGATAATGACACGAGTCAGGCGAGCAGATGATAGCACAGGGCAGGAGATTACAGGCGGGGCTAAGAAAGGCAGGGCTAAAGGAGGGGGGGGGGGGGGGGGGCTAGGGCTGAAAGGACTGAGGGCTGAGTGAGTTAACAAGGAGTTTGTCACAGAAGATGGACTCTAGGTACAGACAACACCTGTTGTGTTGTGTGTACCTAGAGCCTATCTTATACGACATATCTTGAGATGAGAGGAGAGATCAAGACGGAGATGACAGACGGAGGACAGCACACCACAGCACAGCACATAATGTGGCAAAGACAAGCAGAATTTGTCAAAATAAAACAAGATTTAGCTCAGAAAACATTTCAAAACACGTTTCCTTCACCCCGAGCGCAATAACATATATGCACTTCGTCTCTTGCATATCTTGTCCGTTTTCGCTTCGCGTAACGACGTTTGGGTACCACGCCGTTCGAGTGGCTCATTTTAAGGTGAAAGAGCGCTTACGCACTTAACAAACGCCCGCGAACTGTTTGCATCGAGTGAAATCATGAATGTTTGAAATCGCACCTTTTCAGCTTTACAACATCCTACACACGGGATGCCGCGGCATGCCGTGTGGCAACACTAAAACAGAACAAGCGTGCTCCTTGTTAAACCATGAGCACAATGGTGTACACTTTTACGCACTTTGGCCGCATGTTTATGATATATGGCTTTGTTAATCTAACGATGTCGTCCCGTCGCGCACGTTCCGCGACATCGCCGGTTGCCACGCCCCCCCCCCCCCCCTCTCTCCCAGCCAGCCAGCCGTGGGTCGCCGTGCAAGGTTCCTCAAAACTGCACCTGCTCTGAAACCACAAACGCTGGAGACGCGTTTTATGTGTCAAAACACACGTAGCAGATACGCCATAGGTTACCAAAATACACGCAATAGATAACCCATAGGTTACCAAAACACACGTAATAGATACCCCATATGTTACCAAAACACACGTAATAGATACCCCATAGGTTACCAAAAACTTGGACGGGATTGCGCGACATCCCAGCGATGTATCCTGAAGAAATCGTAGGGGTCACATCGACCCCCTGTCAAGACAAGGGTAAGGCAGTAGGTCAAACCAACATTTGGACACGCCCTCGTCCCACTGAACACTTTCAGAGACAGCCTTATGCTTGTGTTTACGTAAATAATATGATTCATGATTAGACTCAAATGTGCGTCAAACCAGGACTTAGGAACCAAACCAGAAGCTCACACTTCATGGGACATCGGACGGAGTGACTAAACAAAATCTGCTCACCGTGCCTAGCTCAAATTAGTGTCAGACCAGGACGTAGTTATGACATAGGCACAACTCACGACTAATGGGAACCAAACCAGAAACCTACACTTCATGGGGCATCGCTCGGAGTGACTAAACAAAATCTGCCCAGCGTGCCCAACATCGCTGCGGCCTTTAAACTAATTCATGCGAGCTTGGAAAAGGAATAATACGCTGTCAAGCATATGGTGAAAACAATGCTCGATCCGACGAAGTTAGTGGCAAAACAGAACACAGGACAGTGCCTTTTCAGCATCGTCACAGTTTTTGCCTTCGATCAGCAGTTCTCCTGTCGCAAATATGGCTTCAAGGCACATCAACCATGCATGGGAAATGGGGATGTTTTCGTTCAGGCACGAGCGTTACTTTACATACTTTCGGGGGGGGGGGGGAGCTGAGCCCGGAGGGGACATCAAACCCACCACCGCCAAACCCCCTCCTGAGCCTCATCAATGGGTATGAGCAAAGAAGGAATGTGGGTCAAAGAAATTCAAAAAGGTATCTTATCCAATGGTACACCTAGCACCTAGACACATCAATGTTAGTGACTTTCCCATTTTGTACCAAATCACATCCTAGAGGTGCCTGAGGTACTTGCCAAACTATTCCCGTAAATGCTAGGCCAGCCTGCACACTTTTGGCAGTTTTGTTGCATAATATCTGGGTATTGCCAAAGAACAATTTACTACGATATGCGGCCGTTTTTTTAAGTTTCGGGAGGCCCAGATAAAAATTAACCCATCTCTCCCTCACCACTACCAAATATACTGATGCAATTGTACATGTACAAGTACTAATGCACAAGTAAACATTTCAGCGAAATTATTTTGGAACACGTCCAGTGAAGCCCGTGCCATGTGCGGCATCGCCCCTACTGCTGAAGCCACTCCTTGTCCCGATGGATCCTGTGAACTCGTACCAGAGCCGCCCAGTATGGTATAAGAGCGGCGGCGATGTGGCACTTGGAGATAGTATTGATAAGACATTCCTCCTGGTCCTCAAAGCGGCTTCTTCCGTATTAATAATTTAACAAATGTGAGATCAATTATGGCTATAAGTTTTATTACGTTGTCCCATTGAGTGGTTATTCGAAAACCACCACTGCGGTTTTGATAGTGCACACAATATGCTCGTAACTGTTGATTAAAATGTTGCCTCGGCTTCCAACCGATTTTCAAAAGTCACCTTCCTGGTTGTTGGTCGCAATCTCAAGCAAAGGGAAGAATAATGACATAGAGTCGCATTTGACTTTGACGCTCTACCCGCAACCTGTGTGTTAGACATTCTATACAAGTCACGCGCAATAATCCCTAATTCGTGTATTCCACAAGTCGATGCGTTCTACTCTCCTTAATGCTCATTTCCTTGCTCTCGACTTCAGGGCATCACATATATGCCTAACAGCGGCCAATGCCAGCGATACTTCGTCAAACACGGCTCGGTCTTGTCCTTGGCAAACGTGGACACCATCGTTTTCATTATTGATAGTGAATCAGACGTTGGATGACAAGCCATCATTAACGCCTTTGTCCCCCTCATAATTGATACGTCATTATACTTTACTTCATGTCACAATTTCAGGCTACTTCCCCATTGTTGATCAGGATTTACCCCATTAACATTATCGGCCGTAACCCAAAGCTGGCATTCCGAAATCACTGCCACACGTTTACAAGGTACTTTGTTCTCAAGAGTCGTGGCGCAAAGATACTCAGAGGGCCGTGAGGCCAATGCCGATCTAGATTTCACAATACCCCATTCGCGGCTCGCGTAACCCTGCTCAGCTTCGAGAGCCGCTCAGACAAGTTTTAGAAGCTGCTGATTACGATCAGCAGTCCGCAACGCGAACGCTTCTGGAATAGACGCTGCGCAATTCTCGGACGCCGCTGACCGGCACACAAACCGCGCAGCGTTCGCCGCCTTCCACACGGTGTAACCAGGGACATGGCTCAGCAACGTAGGTTGGGGGCGGAGCAGGGCAAACTGTCAACTCCATCGATGACATACAAAAATGCTTGTTCTCCCAGGATCTGGTCCACCCCTGCCAAGAGCTGGGGATGCTGGAGAGCCCCCGCCCCCTCCCCCCGACTAAAATAGGAGACTATACCCGTGGTTGTCGCCACGATGCGGTGAGATGTGGCACACGGTACTCACCTTGCCCGGCAGACAGAAGACGGACTGTTCGGTGACCATGGCCTCGACCACCTGCAGGTCGGAGCTGAACTCGGGGAACCGTTCCATCTCGATGCCCACCTGTCGGAGGAGCGTGCACAGCGGTGACGCGTGCACACGGGGGGGGGGGGGGGGGGGGCACGCAGAGACGATGGTAGGCGATCGGGTGACGTCACGGCGACGATCCGTGGAGCGCTGTTGGCAGTGCGACCGTGACGAATGTGACGGCACTGGCGTGGTCATAAATGCTCGTCGTGCTGTAGTGGACATGGTCTCGTTCGCTCCTCCTTCGCCGCACTTTTTCCAAACCATCACGACATAGGGTCGGAGAGCTTGCGACCCTTATTGTCCCAGGAGGTGCATACGTTCATAAACAGCCGAACGCTAACGAGGTGCTGTCACGCAGGAGATTCGGGCTGCAATCCGTGCATAGCGCTTCGTCCCGGGCTGCCAGACCGCGGGCGGCCCATAAAACACGCTCGCATCTGGTCGGGGGCGAGGCTAGGGATGTGCTGAAGGGGCCATGCCATCCCCCTTGGCCAAGAGCTTTACGCAGTACACCGGGTGATTTCGCAAGACTTTGGTTCAAACTCGCATAATTCGCGCCGCGTCGGCAGTGTTTACGGGCCCGGCCGGTGGCAGGCCCGCCGTGCCGAGAAGCCAGGCTCGTCGCCAGTTGGCCCTCTCTGATGGTTGTCAGAACCGGTCGGCGCCGGCCCGGCGCCCCTTCATCAGTAGGCAGCGCGGCCATGTCGGGAACGGCTGGGGCCGGGGCGCGCGCCGCGCTCCGCGCTGTCCCCGTGCAGGCAGACCGGCCGCCACCGGGCAACGGCGAGGATGGGAAGCGGCCGTTGTCTTCGCGATCGAGACGTTCGGTCTGATTGAGTGATTGCTTACCCATGCGGGCAATGCCGAGTACGTCTCGCCTCGTTAAGCAATCCGCCATTGATGATCCATTCATTATCGGGGGTGTTCTGTCAAAGCCACTGATTAACAGATGACCAGCCGCACACCCACGTACCGAACGTGCGTTTACCTGTGTTGAGCAGATGCGATGAACGATCGAGACATTGGCACGTTGTTTTTTTCGCGGTGGCAAACGAGTTCGTATCAGATGATCTCTGGGAGACCTTCCCGGAAATGTCCAAACTTTTCCTCAACTCGCTGGCTACAACACGTGGCGTGCCGCATCCTTCAGTCACAAACAACGCACATATGTAGATTGGAAAAGAGGATTATTTCCCAACTACACGCAATCGAGAGGAAAAGCGTGCATGATGTGTTGAAGATATGCTTACGGTAACGACACGCAACTTCACAGTGTGGTATTCCGGGCAGCCACGTCATCATTAATCCACAAACGGTATGTGCGCCATGACAGCGTATTACGGATGACTCAGCACTCAGTCTGAGCTAGTGGAAATTTTGCACCCCGAGTGAAAATGTCATCTCAGTTTAGCTTGGAAACCCCGACAAGCCTTGCTCCGACAACGCAACAATGTATCTCCGGCTCTGGCTTTAAAGGAAGTTCGCCACCTTTTCGTATTTTTCAGTTATTGTGAGATCGAACAAGTACAATTTGATCATTAATACTAGTTTTCTCGATATCCTGAATAACTCAGAACTTCGGATTCGAAGCAGCCGCTCTTGTGGGGGTACTCCCTAATCGGACTCCCTATTCACCGCTATGAAGGTTATGCATCTTATCTGCATCGCTTTTTCCAACGTGTGTGTTTGGAACGCACTAATTTGTCAAAATGTTTGTGTGATGAATGATACGACAGCTTGAAAGATCGTTCAGACAACAAGGAATGCGAGCATAAAGCTATTATCCCGCCAATTCGACGAAACATTACACTATGACTTTTTTCTCCCCATGCCCATGCGCTTCTCGGTAACAGGCCCTTGACGCCCGCTGTGCCAATCACAGACGTTCGCTTGTATTGACATTATTCGGTAACACCTGACAGCCGCCCCCAGCAGATTCTGCCGTCGCCATGACGACGGTTATCGCGACTTCAGGGAAAAGGCGAAATGCTGTCACGAAGCGATGACAGCGTAAAAGGTGCTAGGAAATAATCAGGAAGCATATTCTCATTATAACTTCATGGTGCTGTAGTAGCACTACCCAGTGCCCAGATGTAACTGGTCCTGACATTTCACTAAAGTATGTTTTTGAAACAAGCGTCAAAAGGTAAAACTCTTTTCTTACCCTACTTTCTCCCGGTTGCCGGGGAAAGACGGGAAGGGGGATGCTGGCGCCCAGATTGAAAGACGGCTAGAGCTCCTCCCCCAGCTAAATAGGAATCGCACCCCTGCCCTGGCCCGCACTTTGCACCATCACGCACCATTACTCGGGGTGCCGTGATGCAAAACAAGTTGTGAGAGAAAATAGGAAACCACATCCCTGCTGTCGCCTCCAGAGCACTTCGCGGCCCAGAACAGCGGCGAGTGCCCGAAGTGGACGGACGGTGCTGCTCCGCAACCCGCACCATGGGAGAGGGCGCATTGCATGGACGATCTCAAGAAGTTGCATGTTAAAGGTCATCGGTGATGTATCTGTCCTTTATTATGCCGTGTGTTCCGACACTGACCGCGCGCTCTGGTAACATCACCGATGCAGCCGTATAAAGCGCAGGTGCCATGTCCGTGCATTGCATGCGGAAAGTAGGCGTCAGCAGGCGCGACGACATGAAATGCACTTGATCTCGTAACTGGCTCATGCTAAGTCCATGGTGTGAGGTCTCATTGGACAAATTTACTTATGGTGTTGCATTGAAGCGTAAACACAAGAGAAGGGGCGCGGCCGCTGTGTTATCGGGCCAATGGATAGGAAGTACAGAAATTAGCATCTACGGGATAGCCAGAATTCACTCGCTGGAGCGCACACATCTAAATAGAGCGCACATGTCTTAACGCCGTCAGAACAGCTTCTGCTACACTTGCATTACGCTCTTTCCGTAACAACCGCAAAAAGCAGGCTTCAAATGCATACTGTGGACTGCTGTCCCGCTCAGGTGCCGGTGGCCCAGGACGCCACCCAATTAGCCCCGACCAGACCGTCTACCAGCCAACGCACCTCGTCATTCCGGGAGCGCAACAGCCTGCGGCAGTCATCTGAAAACAAGCCCCGGATCACACAGCTGGCACGTCAAGCGGCGCGGAGTCACTTACCATCATATACATGGCTCCACGAGGCATGACCGGCTTCAGACCCTTTACGGCCGAGAGCGCGCCGTAGGCGATCTCGGCGTTCGTCTGGGGAAACGACAAGGTCCTGTTAGGCCGGCCGGCAAGGCCTCAACGCGGAGCCTGCAGTGGCGCGCGGGGACCCTAGGAGTGCAGCCGTATCTGAGCTTTGGCGTTTGGATGCATTACCTGCATGGTACGTGCCTCTGTAAGGCTCACACGTTTAGATACACCCACTGCTGCTGCGCGCTTTTTAAATGCGGAGCGAGCTCATCTGTGTAGTTTGCGTCGGTTAGTCAAGACCGCTTGCTACGCATGCGTGCACAACGGTGCTGACCGCGTTCATCTCGTGTCCGTTCACATCGTTCGGGCTCATAATCGGCCCGCATATACTCATGTGCTAGGCGTGCTAATGTAAGACTTGGGGCGGTGATACCAATCCAGTTATGACGAACGCAGAGTCAGTAAGTGTAACATTACGGAACGCGTGTCCAGTGATGAACGCACTGTCAGAGGAACGCATGCCAGGTAATATCTCCATTGAAAGTACTCAAACCTAGAGCTGATCAGTCGGGTTAGAAATAGTTGAATATTCATCCAAACTCTCGGATTTGGTCAATATTCGAATGTCAAAATAAATGTTGGGATAATCGGAGGCTTTCGAATGCTTGATAGAGAACCACATACACGTTTGCAAAAACGATCAACATGAACAGCTAACATTGTCAGCCCTTTTTACCACTGGGATAACATCAAGTGCTTACCTATACGTTAATCATTCACCGCATGTTTGCCTTCATTTAATTATTTTTTAGCAGGAATTCCTACATGTGCAACAAATGCCGCTCAACGATTAACACGGGCTCGGCTGGGGTCAATTTGCCCCCCGTTAGAAGGATTTTCTAGAATTATTTTTGAACGGCGCCGCGTAGCCGTGCCAAATTTTGCATATCTGTGGGTAATTGCAGATTTTTTGGATCAAAAATGAAAAATACGTTGTAATGCCGCCGACCTATGGCAGGTCAAAATCAGGTGGTAGCTGTTAGGTAAAAGCCATGTGACAAGCCACTTCTAGAAAATCGTCCAATATGCTGCCAGAGCGGAGTATCAAACAAAGCCATGACCTCTGAGATAGCTTCTGAGGCAATCAAACAATTAAATTTAGAAGTACAGCGAATTTCATTCACCTAGAGCTAGGTATAAAGGTCAGACAGAGGTCAAAGCTAGCCTGTTTTTTTACTTGAGGGCTTGTTTAATGGGAAATTTTTAAATTTGTGGTTGTCATTTCGATTTTATTTATAACGGGGACCGCAACAGACATGCTTCATGGGCTTCCCTAAGATCGGAGGCCACTGACCTTAAATGACCCTTGTCAACATTTTGTTTTAAGGAACATACCGCCTGGCATAATCACTGACGCTCATTCAAAGTGCACAACAGAAGCAATCTCGTAGATTTTTCGTCACCTCGACCTTACAAAGGTTAAAATAGGTCAATCATCTTAAAAGAAAGCAAGTAGCCTTTGGTTTAGAACAGGTATCTAGTTCAAAAGAGATGCATGAGGAGATCTGAGGGCACTTCATACACCAATTTGGACCTTGACTTGATCTTATTTAATTCCAAGGTCATGACCTTGAAACCTCAATTTTTACGCTAATGGGTCCACGTACAGGCTAATTTACCTCGTAAATTTGGCATGTCTAGCTTTCATAGCTTGTGAAATCTCAACGGGTCAAATCCCTCCTACCCGAGCGAAAGATATTTAACCGGCCACCCGAGCGCGTGTTAAATTGTATGCGCATTTAGAAAATGCTACTCAACTATGCAAGGTATCCGTGCTCAGAGGTGTCACTTTGTATGCTTTCGAGGGCCTGAACCATCCCCACGCTGACAAGAGCCTCCACGACGTTCTTCTGAGCCCCCTCCCCCCCCCTCCCTCAGTGCATGTGCGCACAAAAGAAAACCCTGAGCCAATGGAATGTGTGTGTCTGAACTGCTGGTATACTAGGTACCTAAGCAGATTACCATCAATGTGGTCATCGTGACACATCACCATTATCTCTATCACATTGGCATCAAACAGGCAGGCGTGCCCCCAAATCAAAACAATTTTGGCACCGACCATTTTTCAAAAATAGTCATGTTAATGTCCGTTACACAAATTGAAGTGTCCGAAATCTGGGGAGAAATTAGGTTTGGGGCAGATTAGGTCAGCTTTGTTGGCTCAGCCCCAAGCGATTCTAAAAAGTGGCATTCCTCGAACGCACGCGATAACGGGACTCCAAAGTTAAGTGGTTCATCGTACAGCGGCCATTGAAATACTCCGGGTGCAGCAGACAGCCCGACATCCGGTGACCGCGCCGGCGAGGCAGGGAACCGCCAGACTGTCTGCCCTGGAGGAGACGGATGACCTGCTCCATTTGAAACAGGTGCTCTGGGAGTGCACACTATTACAAAAACAACTTTACTACAACATCCATTGTCAATGGTAAGCTTATGTCGATATTGCGATGCGTTCTTGACAGATGTGAGGGCTGAGTTTGGATAAAACCGAAATGGAATATATTTAACAAGAACTATTTGCTATGCCATTCAGCAAGGAATACGGAGGCAGACCCGGCGAAAATAGCCATTGGACAAGAGGTTGCCGCAAGGTTCACAGCGCGAAGAGGCCACCAAATTTGTACCGGAGGGACCGCCTCCGTGACGAAACACGGACTCGTGCCTCATCAAGATTGATCGACCTCACGCAACATTTGTATCCTGTTTAGCACTCATGACCACACGGACATTCTGCATGTGCAATGCTGTTCCATCCTTCCAAGACCTCGGAATGACAGTATTTACAAAGTTGTGATTCCCGCTTACTTTGCTGCGCGAAGACCCGGTTCCTTAGCGTCGATATAACACGGCCTCCTGCTACATGGCATTGTTTCGCATCACCTTGCTGCTCACCGTAGCCAGACTAATTGTCTAAGCTTTCAATGCTTGCAATTGGCGTTTTGTGTGTGGCAGAACGCCGTTGTCTTTATGTTTCATTTCAATTAGTTATTACTGCTACATTGTATTCAGCTTTGCGGCGGGTTTTCGACGCTATGGCCGTTGTATTTCCTTTGGCGGCTCTGATCGTTTCCATATCTAAAGGAGCCATAACTCCGATATTGAACGGACCAAGGTGGTGTCTATATACGACCTTAGTCCCTGCTTGAGGGCGATCGTGATTTTTTTTATCGTGGGTCTACATACGGGTGGAACCTGGTTGAGCCCGTCCTATGTGGAAATTTCACGGCAATCAAGGCAGCCGTCTGTGCCGCGGGTGTGGCAAACGCACACAAACACAACACACACACACACACACCACACCACACACACACACCACACACCACACACCCACACACACACCACCACACACACACACACACACACACACACACACACACACACACACACACACACACACACACACCCACACACACACACACACACACACAAGCGCACACACACCACACACACACACACAACCACACACAAAACACACACACACACACAAACACACACAACACACCACACACATACATGCACACAGACCAGACACACACACCACACACCACCACACACACACACACACACACACACACACGCACACACACACACACACACGCACACACGCACACATACACACACATACAGAAGCCCGCTCTCTTATTCTAGCATATTAGATGACAAATGTGTTGGCATATTCGGGAACACTTTCGATAAGGACCCAATAGAAAAACAGCAGTTAAGGTACGTGTGCGTAGGTGCAGAAAAATTGAGTAAAGAGATTTTATTCCAGACGCAAAGTAAGCATGTCCTCAATATGTGGCAGTGCACCTGTGCGTGCTTGAGTTTAATTACGTAGAAAATGAAACTTTCACATTTGAAGTCAAAATCTATAAAAACTGCCGGTGAGATGCACGTGCATGAATGGAAAGCACAGCATCGCACGGGGATGTTTTGTGGAGAGACAACGTATCACCATAAGCACGAGCATGTCAGACTCCACAAACAAGTGGAACACGAGTTACGTGGCTCATGCCACTTCAAAGCATCGATCTCTCTTTTCTGTCCCAGTCTTTGTTTCAGACTGCATCTCTAGCCCTTTCTAATGGCCTTGCGTGGGTCGTTCCACCCAGGCTTGCGTTAATCTCTGCGTCTGCACTTCCAAAATTCCCAGCAGTGACGTATTATCTCCTGGTGAACACACCTAAGACGCCTGAGCCACGCACACGTGCTCCAAAAGGACTGCCGCATTCCAGCGGTCCTCGACCGCGAGGCGCAGCGGCCAGCAACCGCGTCCCGCGATCGCGACCTTGATTGGCCGGTCGGCTGCTGACGTCACACGTCAGATGACGGCCGAGCGGGCGCCCGGTGGCAGGGCAGAAGGCCAGTGTTGCAGCATAGCGGTCTGGCAGGGGCACTGGACCGGCTGAGTCTACATTGGGTGTGACAGAGCTCCGTTTCGGCTGCACAGTTAAGGACCGGCGTCGCCGAATTAGCCTGATCTCTGTATTTGAAGGACAGCGTGGGCCAGCTGATGCCGTCAGCCGACTTGAATCGCAAAGAAAATGCGGATGCATCGAAAAACACCGGTCGACTCCCTTTTTATGACTGATGTGGCATGTCCAGGCTCGTATTCGAAAAATCTGCGTTGCAAAACTACTCATTGTCTAGATCGGCGATGGCAACATGACGAGCCGGGACGAGACTGCTCTGCTCTCACGAGAGGGCGCTGCGGACAGCTACCTGCACCACCTCCAAGGTGGACCGGAAGAACTCGCCGGGTGTTCGGCTGAGAATGGCCTGGCAGCGCCCCCTGCACGAGCGTGTTGGAACCGATCGTCCTCGTTGACAGCCTCTGCAGACCAGCCCGCACCTGCAACACAGACTTCCGCGTGAGGGCTGCATGCTCAGGTGCGCTGTCTGGGCGGTGCAGTAAATGTCAAAGTGTGCGTGGCCCAAAGTTCACGCGCGCGTGGCGTGCAGCACTTCTCTGACCTGAGATTTACTGTGCCATGGGTCACCAAATACGTACAGATTGGTAAACCCTGCAACCAGGCAATACGTTGTTAAGTCTACTAAAGGGTTGGTATTAAAGGGCGCTAAATTGCGTGCTGGCATATCCATTATGCGCAAAGCAGCAAAGCCACTTTAGCTGAGAATACTGAAGGACGCTTAAGTATATCCGTGCGTGTCCTCTGGCTCATCCAACAGGTTACCTCCTTCAGAACATGATCGTGGTCGTGGACCGTGATCCATCCCATTCTCCAGCCGGGTACCAGGTACCTGGCGGGGAGAAGCTGCTTTGAACTGTGCGGGATATTCACTGCACTGAGTCATCAGCTGCTCAAGCCCTCACATACACCGATCCACAGGAATGTCACAAGCTCCTCCGTACCGCATCATTATTGCGCCACTCAGCTCCGACCTCTTCCCGACCGATTTTGCACGCAAACGGATAATTAGCATTTGCATGCTGAGCAAACTAAGATGCAGTCCCAAAAGTGAGTTTTGTATATCACCTATAGCCTGTGACAATCGAAACGTTCAACGAAAACTAAAGACATTTTTCCGAAAACAGCACATTGCTAAGGACTCTCAGAGGTCACTCGTCCCGGACAATAAACCGGTCCGTCTGGAGGCTCAAGGTTTATGGGTGCATCTGTCATAAAACTACGTTCTTGGTGCTTCCAGCATCTTAAGACTTATTCCATTTAATTACCGCTTTGTGAGACCACTGCACGACAAGATAGGAACCTCCTTGGTCAGCGACGCGATATAATGAAACTTGTTGCCGGGAAATACCTGGAACGGCAGAGCACGTGCGTTATTCAAAGGTTAAGCTAAGCAACTGATCAATAGTTTAGTTATATGAAGGCTGTCAGAGCTGCGTTTTATCAGATGAACGCGAAGATACACTTCCAAGCCTCCACACGAATGATTCTCATCGACATGATCTTATTCATACTCGTACTCAACATGGAACTCAAAGAGAAGACCATGCACAAACAGAAGTCACGGACAGTTTATCGTCAAAGTCGTGCAACGAGTCAGCGACACTGCAGCTCACGCTTTGCTTTAATTGCACATAAGCCTAATGGATTAGAGAACGATATTTCACCTGCGATTCGGAACCCTAAGTAATGGATAGCTTAAAACAATCTTTGACATTAAGTCTGTCCTCTAACGCCCGCAATCAAGAATCGCGCATTTCCCTGGACTCAGTGCGCGAAACGGAGAACAACAAAACAGAGGACTGAGAGCACTCACGAAATGATCGTAGATCTCGTCTGCGATGATGGGCACCTTGCGCCGGGCGGCGATGTCCAGAATCTGGCGCAGGTGAGCCTCGTCAAACACCGAGCCGCACGGGTTGCTTGGGTTGTTGATGACGATGGCGCGCGTGCTGGCGTCAATCTGGGCCTCCAGCATCTTCAGGTCAGCCTCCCAGCCTCGCTCCGGCTGTGGGGCGGGCAGCTACGTCAGCGGCGGAGGCGTCCGGTGCCGCTTCACCAGCGGTAGTTGTACGGTGCACACGTGCTTATCGGCGTTGAAACTCCAAATCTTTTAGACAATGACATGTGGCAATGCCTCGTATGGGTAAAAAAGAGCGCCCGCCGGAAACTAAGCTATACCCCTGCTACTTGAGGACAGTCATAACAAGGCTATTGCAAAGCTGCTTGCTTAATCTGATGCTGCTGCAAATACTTCAAAGGGAGAAGAAGATATAAAAGCTTTTGTCGTCTGATGGTTTAATGTTATCCGCTGCATTCATCTGATAGCAGGAAATGATACGTTCACCAGTGCTTTCTTTATCCCACGACCAAACAGCGACGACACCAAAGCACCAGCGCCGGTAGCGCTTCCATATCGCCAGCTCTGGTAATATCAGGGAAGATGCAGCCCTGCGTCCTTTGCACCCTGGTGCAAATCTCACCAGCAGGTTGTAGAACTTGGTGTGAATGCCGATGCAGTGCGCCAGCGTCTGGTAGAGCGGAAAGCCGGGCCGGGGTACGAGGATGTTGTCGCCGGGGTTGGCCAGCACCGTGATGCACATTTCCAGCGACGACGAGCAGCCGCTGCAGATGATGACGTCCTGAGGGCGTTGGCAGATCCCGTCGGTCAGGTCGCGCCCAAACATGGGCGCACTGAGGTAGAGAATGGGAGCAACAGGAATAACCGGCACGCCGCGCTTCGCGCAAGCTGAACACAGACGCGGCTCGTGATAACGATCATGCTGATACGCACTCTCTGCTTGCTCTCCATCTGTGGGTTCTAGCAGCGCACCTTGCGCCAGCACCCAGCAGAGTTATTTCGTGTACGAATCGAGCTTATTGAAATCGCACACACTCCA